TCCTAGTTTTTCCTTATCCACTATTACGAAGACGTCGTTAACATAAAGCATTCATATTCTAGGCATCACGCTTTCCTATGAAGGCGTTCTAGGCATGACACCTCTGTCTTTTTTTCCAATTGCGACATAAATAATTCAGCAATAAATGGCAATGGTGGATTGCCCATCAATACTCCCGACTTTTTTTGGTACACCTCGTTTCTTTTCAATTTTCTTCTTATTCTGTTCTGTTTCTTCTTATTCTGTTTGGATAAAAATACCTTTAAATATCCTAGTGCTTCGTTAACTGGAACACTGGGAAACAGCGTCCTGACAACGTACGAAACTATCAGGTCTAATTGTTAAATTTTTGGTTTTTTATTGTGGATTCCTCCCTATAATTTTTTACATTTCAAATATTTTTTCGCGAATTGAAGTTCTTTATCAAATTAGCGATTTATATGTTTTTTAAATTATGTATTTATTATTTACGGAATATGTTTTTTGAATTACGTCTGTCCGATATCTGGTTCTCAAGATAAAGAGCTTCATTACAGAGTCTTAAACGTATTGGTTACCAATATGATTGATCACATTTGTCTGCTGGATCATAGATTACAATTAATGTATTGTTATTTTGGTCATTATAATTAAATTGTGACGAAAAGAGCAGTCTTTGGTATCACTGTTCTTTTTGACTGTGGTTTGAATTTTTCCGCAATTATGCGATCGTAGTTCTGTTTCGTAAATGTTTCGAAACCACTGAATCGAAATTCCTTATAATTCCTTTCCTTGCACGTTTTACCTCACTTAAATGTTGCTTAAGCCTTGTCCAATATGAAGTTTAGTTGCGTTTTAAGTCCTGTTTATTCATCAGTGTAATTAGCATTTTAAGAGTTGAACGGTTAGTTAGAATTATAAAGTTGAACATCGCCAATTTATGTTTTCTTGAATGGTACGAGTTCTTTGGGATGTATATTTGTGTGATTGTTTCCTTCCTGTACATGTTGAAAACAATTTTATCTGATTTCTTTTTCAGGAATATATCAAACAAAGGTACAACTCCATTCTCGTCAATTTCGTAGTAGGAATGACCAATTCTATTACATTGTGGTACTCATTAATACTCGTTACTAATTGATATGATGGTATTGATCTTTTTACTCGTTACCAGGTAGTCGTACTTTTATTTTTTTCACATATTCCGAGTAGAGATGGAAAAAGCTACGATTCAAGCGCGTAAGTAGCGCACGAAATGAATTACCAAATATAAAAGTATTTTATTCCGAAGAAAAAAGAGTTTTCTTGTTATACATCTTAAGAAAATCGCTGTATTTCTGTTACTGCAGATTTTAAAAATATTTGTGCTTTCGAGGAAGCAATTTGAAAAAAAATATGGTATTTTCAGGCCTTGGAGAGTTCATAACTTTTTAAAGGATGTAGGGAGAGATACATATATGACAGTTTTCGTCAATAAAATATATATTTTTCTCGTAAATATCCATTTATGTATAAAATTTCAACTTTGCATTTTTCATAATTTTCTATTAAAAATGGCTTAGTGATTTTGGGGGCAGGTAATTTTGTTTTAAAGCAATATTACTTATTAATAAAGTAAAAGTCTTCACAGTTCATAGAAAATAGTTTGGAATTCGGTAGAACAAAAAAATTTTCAGAGTTAACTGATAAGTAAATAGTGTATCACATTTTTCGAATAAAGTATTATAGTTTTTTAAACAAATTTATAAAAATCGTTCTTACGAGTATATATTATGCACATGAATAATATATACTATTTATTTTAATATATTAGCACGAACGCATAATCAAATGGTATTACAGATTTACAACTCTGTATGTAATTCCATAAAATAGTTCAAGATTTTAATAGCTCGATTTCCCATATCTGTCTGTTCCTTTATTCGTCAGCATTACTTTGCGGCAATTCAGAAATGCTCTAAGCTGTGTTTATTAAACGGCGTGGGTGTTTTGCATCAATTAGGGGTTACATCACACCAATCTAACATGAGTTTATAAAATTTTATGGTATTAACGTGCGAATCCTCATTAATTTACGTACGCTGAAGAAAGTGGTTCAATTAAGTGCGATTCAGCTCAAAAATTATTTACTTATACCTCACAGACCACAAGTCCCACATATTTCAAATTTAGCAAAAACAAGTTTGATAACCGTGAAATTGTTCCCATAAAATTAGGTTTTTGTTTTTGTACAAGTTTTTACAATAGCTGTTGCACAACTTTAAAATTAATTTTTTCAAACGTGGTAAATTATAAATCCTAAATTGCATTCAATTTTTACATTAATGTTTGATAATAGGGGCATCGTTCCAATAAAATATTATTGCGGATGTATAAATTTTTACATTAGTTACAACGATTTCAAAAATTTTGTCTGTCTAAATAAATATAATTCAATAATCTACTGATAAATGAGTAAATCTTACTGAGTAAATGTTGCAAAAATTTTTAGTAATTGAGCATAGATATTTTGGTTTTTAAATGTATTAGACAATGATTTTCGATCTTTTTGTTTTAATTAAGTAAGCCTGTATTTTACTTATCATAACCAAATAAATTTCAAAAAGTTTTTCAAACGTTGAATAAATTATGTGGTTCGGGAGCAAGCCAACGATGCTGAAGTTCCACTTTACGTGTTAATCATATGTAGCAACGTGCAAAAATTTGCGAGAATTTTGTGTTGTAAAAAAATGCGTAAGGCATACAAAGTAATAGGTTTCATATTCATATGAAAAGATATCAATAAAGCAAATTAAATTATAATTTTAAATAATATAAAATATAATTTAAATAAATGATGGCTGAGAAAAACTGAGATAAGGTAATGATACTGCCATAATAAACATTAAAATGCCATATTGACACCTAATAATCTTGCATCATGAATGAATAAAAGAGCTGCGATATCTACTGGGAAAAACTTCATGTCATCTCTTTGCAGGTCGTAAGATGCAAGTCTGCTCAGTGCATACGATTCTAAAACTTTACACAGAGCTTGGAATAATTAAATTGAGACAAAAATTAGAACAAGAAAAGAGCGAATATATAGCATAAGGTCGTTGGTTTGAGGGAAGTTAGATGGGTTAAGATGAAATAAAATTTGAGGAAATGAATAACGCAAATAACACAAGAGGAATTCGCGTAACAATGCGCGATAATGTGGAATGTGAGCAGCCGAATCTTTTAATAGACGGCTGAATATTCCCACACATATTAATACATAAATGCACATAGATTGCTCCCGATGCCAGGACTAAAAATGAGACAGACCACAGTTGCATTAGTCAAAATAAGTAAAATTGATCTTGGATGAAAGAATATGGAGGTGAGCAGGTGCACAAGGAGATCACGTACTTGTAACTGCTGACATAAGAATCAATTTTACAGATCCTAACTCGCTTATGAATCTACAAAGGTTGAACCTGTACAAATATTGACTTCAAGCGATACAGAAGTACTTGATGAACAATGAAAAAGAATCTCCAAAAAAATTAATAATATTCCCGGCAAAAACAAGAGAAAGCTCTATAGCAATATGATAAGAGCATCTCAAAGAGCTGCAGAATAAAACGACGATCACACACATCGCAAAACTGATGCAAAAAGGAGTAGTCTATAAGAAAGTGGTAGCATGAAAAGCGTAATAATTACCTCCAACTTAGTGAATGAAAAAATTATTAAAGAATAGTGTATTTTAAATGTTTTGAAATATTCATGTTATACAATTTACCGTATGTATTCAAACAAACCTTTTATTTGAGAATATTGTTTTGTTTACTTTTGCTTTTAATTTTTTATGTTTTTATTTCTATACTATTAGTTTAATACACACAAAAGTAACAGTTCCCTTTTTTTTATCTTTCGCTCTTAATTGTTTTTTTACCTTGATATTTAAATGGTATGACCAAAGATATAGAACGAAAAATATTTAAAGCAGGAAGGCTTCGGTCAGTATGGTGTCAACACAATTGAAAAGTGCAATTAAATTAAAAATATTCAATGCACGCCTGAAATCCGTAAGGTTGTATAGCAGTGGAACATAGTCGTTTTCAAAAGCTGCAGATGTTTATTAAAAAATGTACGAGGACAGTCCCGCTAGATCGAGATTTCTTTCAAATAGAACTAATGAACGTTCTTTAAATATGTCGCACTATTCCATACCAAAATAAAACAACAGCATGTATGTTGCTAAATTTTAATAAACAGAAACTGAATGCCACTCTACTATTTAATTGTTAAAAAACAATATTGCATTTTCTAAATCACTTATCATCTCGAAAGTTTTGAAGAACTTGTCTATTTAGTTTTTTAAAAAATTTTATTGACAAATTTTTTTAATTGCACAAAATCGGACGAACTATTTATCACAAATAGACAATGAACATAGTCAATATATAGATTAGAAGGTGAAAGTTACGAGTATTTAAGTATCCGAAAAAAATTTATGTCAACAAATTATAATGCACAGCTATGTTACTGCGAACATCATTTTCATATATTTTTCTTCTTTGTCAGTTTTACTTGTTCAGTGATTAACCTCCATTCTATAAATTAGAGTATTGTCGTGGTTCCAGGATATTATATTAGTTCACTCTCTATTTTCAGATATCGCATTTGCATTTAATAATTAATAAGTAAGTTATTAATTTTAAATCTAGCGCTATAAAATTATTAGCATTTTAATTTTATAAATTTTAAGAAGAGAATAAAAAATCTAATATAATCTTATCCAAGTCTCAATCTAACGTGATACAACTTCGTTTTAATGTTAATATCAATCAAATTGCCCAGCCCCACTGGGGCTTTATTCATAATGCTAAATTAGCCACATTTCCTATAACGTTACTATATTTAATGAAGTTATAATCGAATATACTTATGTTATAGCAATATAAATACTTGACAACTATTTTTTTTTGATGAATTTGTGTTCAATAAACAAGAAAATGGAGGCAAAACTCTAGTTAAATTTTTTTTCTTACCGGATAGCTTCGATTTCCTCATCTTTTTCCATCAATCTTCTTTCAGCATCATGACGGAACTGTGCAAAATCAGCAGCTAATCTTTGTGCACGTTGTTCTTCAGCTTTTCTACCCTATTTAATATAAAAACCGATTAAAGCAGTCCGTGTTAATAGTATATCATTTTTTATTTAACTTACAGCTTCAGCTTCTTTATAAGCAGCGGCTAATTCATCCCGTTCATTTTCTAATCTTCGAAGTTCAAGCTCCAAATCGTGAAGGCGACGAGTTAAGTCAGTTATAACACCTTTAGCGTCGGATAGATCATCTGAATCAATAACAAAAGAAAAACATAAAATAAACATAGAAATCATATTTTAAAGATATGCTTTTTGGTTTTTTACCGCCAAGTTTTTTGTTTTCACGACCCAGTTGAGAGTTGGCATCACGGACCTTTTCGTTCTCATGATTTAATCTGACGATCTCGGCTTGTTTATTTCTTAAATCCCGTTGACATGTTTCATATAGCAAAACTGTTTCTTCCAAACGCGATTTTAGTTCCACATTAGATTTTTCTAAAGTATCACAACGTTTTTGTAGCTCGCGGCAAGTTCCATTAGCTTTTTCCAAGTCGATAATTAAAACTTCAACTTCACTTTGCAAACGACTTTTTTGTTTTTCCAAATTATTGCATTTGACGATAATTGACTCAATATGTTCTTCAAGTTCAGTGATACGTACAGTATATTTTCGTCGTAGATCTTCGACTTCTTCAACATGGGCAGCAGCTTCAGATTGGTATTTTGCTTGCCAAGTAGAGACGTCTCCTTGTGCTTTGATTAATTGGCGTTCAAGATCAATACGAGCTTCAGTTTCTTCTTCTAGCTGAACACGAACCGATTCTAATTCCGTTTCTATAGAATGAAGAGATTGTTCAAGCATTGAACGACGCCGATCTTCATCTTCCAATCTACGACGAGCATCTTCTAATTGAGAAATTATTTGGGTTCTTGAATAGGAAATGTTTTCAATTTGGATTTTTATATCTTGCACTTCTTTGGTTAACTCAATATTTTCTTGATGAAGTCTGGATTTATGTGAAGTTATATCTATAATTGTTCGATTCAGTTCTTCAATTTTAACGTTTAATTCTGTTATAGAAATTTCCAATCTCTCAATATGCTTTGATTGCATAATTTTTTCTTTATTAACTGATTCGACTTGTGATAATAATTCATAAATTTCGGCTTGGAATTTTGCTTTTTCCTTTTCGGCCCTATGAAAAAAAATATATTTTTAGACTTTTTGTATTTTAAGATAAATAATAACTTTGTGCCGCAAGTTTGTGTGTAGTTTGGTAATAAATTTGTAATACTAGAGTCTTCTTTCGAAAATCCATCTTGTTTATTTTATCCGTCTATAAAGTATTATTAAGCAAATCAGATGATATGGTAATGTAGAACTTATGAAATATATTAAAAAACGAGAAAAAATAGAGTTGACCTTGTCAACTCTGTGATACCCGTACGAATTTGTTATCCTATGTGCGAATAAATATGCCATAACTGACTATGGGACAGACTATGACTTTAAGTTGAAGTAAATTTCAGTGCTGTGTTCTTCAAAATATATTTTATATTGAAGTTGTATGGCAGCTACCAGTAAGAGTCAAGAAATTTTAACGAATTTTATCAAGCACATCGGTCCTACAAATATATTCGCTTGTATTAATTTCAATACCATAGCTTTTATAGTTTCTGAGATATAGCCAAATAAATTTTGAAATTGTATGGCAGCTACCCGAACCGGTAACCGGATCATGTCCAATTTAAATAGGGTTCTGGAACTTACTACAATAAATCATTTGTGAAAATTTGGTGAACTTAGCTCAATTGGTTTTTGAGTTATCGCTGGGATGGACGGACGGACGGACAGATGGGCAGACAAAGCTAAATCAACTCAGAATTCGACGCTGATCAAAGGCAAATTTAGTATACCCTTCGAAAATACGTTCGTACGGGTATAATAAGAAAATATTAGGACTTCAGAATATATATATTTATTTTTTGCGAAATCTACGATATTTTACGAAATAAGTTTGTATATTACACAACAGTGCTAAACGAATTTTAAAATGCTTGAGAAAATGTTCAGCATTTAGAAAAGTGGATATAAAGAATATTTGGGTTATTACCGACCGTATTGTGTATACAATAGGTAGGTTATGTGATGGCAACAAATTTTGCATATCGAGTTTTCGGTGAGAACGCACTTCTCCATGGGATTGATGAACTTTTGAAATAAATCAGGCCTCGGGAACTGCAATTTTTAGCGGGCCTGTTTTACATTTTTAACCGTTTTTAAGAAAATACTCAACCGATTTACTTGAAATTTTATTTACATGCTCGATCGTCCGCGAATCCACCTAATTTTTGGAAGAAATCAGGAGTCAGCAACTGGATGTTCGCTAAGGCCAAATATACATTTTTGCGTGAATAAAAAGAAATAAACAACCGATTTCATTGATTTTTAATATTTAAATTCTACTTTTTAAAAAAATGAACATATAATTTTTTTGGAGAGACCAGGGCTCGAAAACTGATCTGCTGGCCGATTTTACATTTTCTTGAATTTCTTGAAATTTGATATTTGAGTTCTGGCTGTAACCGAAACTAATTGGCGAGAATTTCAGGGAATTCGGGTAGCGCAAAACGAAACTCTACTAAGAGCCAAATTTACATTTTTCTAGATATGTTAACTAGAAGCTTACTAATGTCCTTACTAATGTTGGAAAGAAGTATTTAACAGATATTTTTATAATATTCTGTAACACTTTCGTTTAACTAGACAGTACACATTGCGGTCGGTTATGTGCTGATCACATCGGACTTGTATGTATATGTACAAGTTATTTTTTTAGCTTTTTAAAAAGGAAAGTTTGAAAGTAAATTAAAGTATTTATACCCAATGAATTTGAGTGCTTATTTCATTATCAATTTGTGTTACTGGTTAAATTATATCATTAAAAAAACTTTTTAGTTCAACATCACATTACTTTGGAAATTTTCAATTGTCTATAATTAGTTATTGTGATAATTGATTAAACAATGAAAAATTAAGAATTGAAATTACCTTGACTTTGATTTCGTTAATACATCAATTTGCTCTTGAAAATCTGTCATAATTTCATTGTGCTTCTTCTTAAGCATGTGGGCAGTTTCTTCGGACTCTAGATGAACATCTTCTAGCATTTTCCGCATTTTAGCCAATTCTGCATCTCTTTTACAATTGGCGTGAAACTATTTGAATGAAATATGTAGTGAAAAAATCTTTTATATATGTATACAATTTGAAAAAATACTTGTGATTCCGCACCACCTTCAGCTTCTTCTAAGCGCTCTGACATTTGTATTACTTGAACGCTTAAGTCGGCCTTTTCTCGTTCAATCTATACAATTTTCGTTTTAAATAACAATGAAAAATAGCTTTTTTATAAATGTTTACTACAACTTACTCTTTGCCTTAATTCTCTTTCAGATTCTAGGTCATCTTGTAAGAGGCGGATCTTATCCTGCAATTTAAAATTAAGTTAACAAAAGTTAATAAAAGTAAAAAATATTAACTTATTGAAAACGCAAGGCATTATAATCTAGAGAATGGTTTGCTTATGTAATTGTATTGGGACAATCTTAACAAGAATGTTCTCTAATTATGAAGGAATAAAACCAGTTACTTTATTCACACAAAAAAATATAAGAGACATAGATGGTTGATTCGCAAGAGCGCATTCAAATTCTTTATTTAATTTTAGTCAAAACTGATGGTCTTCGTAAATTGGTCAGAGCTGAATTTACCGAAGGTATTGCCAAAACCATTAATTAAATACAGATGTTAAAGATACTGGAATTTTCTATTTGTACTCGTATAATAACATGTTGCCATTCATTATATTTCTAATAAAGGACATGCGAGTTTTTCAAAAAAAAAATTACCATGGATTTTTGACTTTCGTTAAATTATTTCTAATTAAACTAAAATGGCATGGTGCAAAGTATAAGCTAGCAAAAGAAATTCATTCATAAATTTTTGAAAGCAAAATGAATTTGATATTTCAATATTTACATGAGACTGAAAATGTACTCAAGGAAATATATGAAGTTTGATAGTAATAACGTAAATAAATATTTTCATTTCGTTATGAGAAAAATATGTTTATTGCTTTTAAAACGCTTAATGTTGCTCCTTTAAAACAATGCATTTAGTCGGAGTATAGAAAGAGCTCAGATAGACATGCAATTTTTAGTTTTGCAACTCTATAATTGCTAATTTGTATTCTATAGGTTTATATTCAAGGGCGCACACATGCAATTGTAAACAGTTTGTAATTTTTTACTAACTGATTACAATTTCTATTTAACGCTGCAATTACTGCTTGATCTTACAAACGTTGCACGCATATCTAAACAACTCTACTATTACATCAATTCAAATCGATTTGCATGCAATGACACTGTTGCAACTGTGAGTATAAACCTATGGAATACAAATAACCAATTAAACAGTTTTAAAATTAAAAGTTTCTGTTTGCCTAAGCCCTGAAATAAACTATGGTAGTTGCAGCTTTTTTGTTATACACATTTGCATATATACATGTACGTATATTAGACCTATTTGTTTACTCTTTTGAAAATTTTGAATAATGTCTTTACATCTAACAAGTCCCAATACTCAATTTTTTTTACGAAATATTACGAATTTTTGGCTTCGTTCCTGTAAAAAAAATTACGAATTTTGGCTTTAAATGCCACTGATCGTGTCATATTTCTTATTATTTTTTTCTTTTTTTTACGTAAAAAAGAGTTTAATATTTTAAAAAATCCCAGGATATTATACACATTTTTTAAAAAGCTTCCCATTTAAATTCTATTGCACGAAAAAGAAAGAAAGGTAGGGGGAAAGAAAAAATGATAAAAAATTTCAAATTCATATTTCAGTATGGTTTCAAATGTTAATGAGGAAGGATGTATGAATTTGCAGGCACATTTTGTATTTCCCAATAAGGTAAATTGAGTAGTGTCGGCTAACAAAAATGTTAATAAAAGTAATGTAGGTTGACACATTTCATAATTTGAATTATCTCATTTCGGTTATTTATAATACTCATTAAATTGATTCAAATAATTTCAGTTAGTTTTTAAGTTATTAAAAATAAATATGTATGTACCTACTTCCAGTCATTTTTCTTAAATAATTATTTTAAAACTATTTCAAACAGTTATATTGAATGCTTCAAAAATTTTGTTGTGCACTTCTTTCATATTTTTTTAGCAGGTAGACAAGAACAATCTATTTATAAAATGGCCCTGCATGTGTATGAATTTTAATAATAAACGCAAACGGACAAAAATTTACATCAGTACCTACAACCTGTTACTTTACAATCGGAGTTTTTGAGTATTTTGTTAAGATACTATTTATTTGAAAAAAAAAAGATATTCGAATCCGGTCATAAAAATATATTATTGTCTTTTCCAAAACCTTTTAAATATTTTTTTACATAGGTAATATATTAATTTTTAAAAATTTTTCTCAAAAATAGAGGTAAAATTTAGAAGTATATATAAAATTTGTATTTAAAAAATAATATTTGATTGCATTTTAGATATTATTTTCTAATTTCCTCTTCAAATTTTTTCTTTACTATGTATTCATATCAATATTTAATAATTATCTTTCATTAATAAAATTTTCAACTTGACTCCACAGTTACTTCCCACATCACTTAAAAATAATGAAATGCTTTCAGTAACATATAAAACGTTGAAGGCAAAGGTTGTGCTTGTTGTTTTTCCGCTGTTTCAAGAATTTTAAAATAATTATGAATGAAAATATTAATATATTTTCTTGATTTTTCAAATATATTTTCGAAATTTTACCTGCTTTATAATAAGTGTGAATTTATTTTAATATTTCTTCTCAAAAAATAGCCACTTCGATTTAAAAAAACATCTCTTAGCATTGGGACTTGTTAAATATAAAGACATTAATTTTGAAAAGAAAAGAAACTTGAAATTTAAGGAAAAAAATTTAAAATATTTAAATGTATCTTCAAGCTAATTCTCTCCAAATTTATGAAGGGTGTATGCTAATTAAGAAGAATTTGTGATGTGTTTCCTACTTCTTCATTTTTATTTTGAATATAATATTTTAAAACCTTTTTAGAAGTATAATCTTTTCAAATTAGTTTTACTTTTTATATGTAGTTAGAATAAAAAAAATCTCTGAATGTACTACAATAATTTTGTATTTGTATTTTGTAGCTAAATTCAAAGTATTTTTCGAGGAATTGAGATATATTTATAGCACATTACAAATGAATTCCTTCTCTTTCGGTAATGTTTTTATTTGAATACCGATAAATTTGTGTCCATCAAAACATTTTTTATTCAGCTACGTTTTATTTTGAAAACCAACATATGGCTATTGCCAAAAGATCTATTTATACTTTTATTACAACATTCATATACCAAAAATGGACTATCTACAAAATGTATATTATATTCCTTTTAGTTTTATTTTGTCCATTAATTGAAATAATTTTGATCCGTTTGACTGTAAGAAGTATTGAAATATGTTTATGTTATAATATAAAGATAAAAATTATTTTTGCTTTGAGCAAAAATATTACGAGTTATCAAATATTTTATTTACAAAGCAGAAATATGATGTTCGAAATGATTCATGATCACTTTAGATATGCTTTTTTTTTAGACGTGTATACATATACAATATTGCCGTCATAGAAATTCATAAAAAAGTTTAAGAAAAGTTTAAATAGATTTTTATTTTTCTAATAAAACAAAATAATATACAATGCAAATAAATCCAAAGTTTAACCTGGTTTGAAAAATAAAAAAAATAGGTATATTCGAAAGCATGTAAAGCATGTTACGCGAAAATCGCAAAATTAATACTCAACTAAGCAACTATTACTAATTTGGAAAGATACGATACATCATCGCCCCAAATTCATCATTTTTTTTAAGTTTGAGAAATCTAATTTAAAGCTTGTAAGCAAATATTTAAAAATTGGCCGACAAACTAGGTTTCACAACATCCCAAAAACATTTTTCAGAAAAGGTAAAATAATAATAACGCGCTTTTATTGCAATATATCACTTATAATAAAATGTGTAATACAATATATATAATTATTAATTCTGAATCTAAAGTCATTATAAAAATGGCCTTTTGTTCTGAAAGGAGAAAAATTAATTTTCATTATTTAAAAATTTCTTTTATTATTATTGAAAGTTAATCCCTTTTCATAAATATTTAAAATAAATAGCAATTACTGAAAAATTCCGCGTTAAAATTCTGTTCAATTTAATATACTCGTATTAAAAACCACTTAAAAACAAAATTAAGAAACATTTTAAATTTCAAGAGCTTAATGCAACAGTCAATATTTTCATTTAAACAAGCATTCATATAATATTGTACATCTACATTTAGTTGAAATTTTTTAATATTGCAAAAGTACGATTGGTGTCTTTTTTTTAAAAAGTTGATACATTTTTAAAAATCATATCATGTAAACAAAATTTTCTAATGAAATAGTAATACATACACATAGGCATTATCTCGAGAAGATATTTATTTTGCTACATCCGCATTTTATTCAATATTTCTTGCACTAACGAACTATTAACTACATTCACTATTTCTTGCACTAGCGAAACAACCAATCCATATGGTTTGACAAAGATGTGGAGTTTTTAAAACTAATATGGTGCAGAGTAAGAGTATGCAGAGTTCAAGGCATATCTCTAAATAAAATCTGCTAACTTTTTGACAATACAGGTCATAGTCTCTCGTTTTGGTAACATATGTACATAAAAATCTGTTTCATGGACTACAGACTTATTTTTTGGCTTATGTAATGTTGAGTTAAAATACAAATCTTATAGTTATGCAATGTAATCTTAGTTATGTAACGGCCCATAAAAATACAATTCAGCCAAAATTGCATATGGGCGTTCATATTTGCATGACACATACATATATCCAAAAACCATTTCCTTATGATATTTAAAAACTTATTAAGTATACGGCATGCGATAGCCTCAATGTAGTGCGAAATATGATAACGATTATTTTTTTTGTATCCTACTTCGCTCCTAAGAGCAGCATAGGGCTAGTGCGTAATTATTGTAAGTAACCATGAACCAGTTTCTGACTTCATTGGGTTTACTAAGTAGGTGAAGAACCTACCGTAGTTTTTTCTTTATGTTAGATATTAAAGGTTATTATTATTTATTGTTTTATTTTGCTGGTATTTTTTTAATATAGGATATTATTGAAATGTAATAATTAGTTAATATTAATTTTTTGCTTTTATATCTAATGTGTATAAAGCTATATGGGCTAGTACAAGGACCAGTGTAATACAACTGCACCATTGGTCAGGCCTGTTTTACAACATGATAAATTAACTTTATATAACTAAAGTTAAGCCTAAGTCTATAAAAACTGGTACGTGAAAATACCCTGACTTCATGAAAAAACCCT